GGAAGGAAGGAAGGAAGGAAGGAAGGAAGGAAGGAAGGAAGGAAGGAAGGAAGGAAAGGGCTTAGAGATTACCCTGAAGTAGGAGGCATCAAATATTTTCAAACTAACTCTGGAGAGTATGAGATAACTTGCTGTGTCTGTAAAAATGTTCATTACTGTGGAATCTGCACTGGCTGGAATGGACTTTTGTCCTCTGGAAGCTTCTTAATTTATAACCATTCTTTTAGTCTTTCAGAGTGTTCTTTCTTCCTGCATCAGATGAATATGAGTCCCTACTGGAAGTCATTTGTGGAGGCACCAATATCAAGTCTAGCATCTGTTACTCATTACATTGCAGGCAGGAGTTAGAAAAACAGAGTGGCTGGGGTAAATAAGGGAAAGCTTTATATTTACACTGAAATTAGAGTTACAGAGAAGTTGATAATTTCAGAAACAGAAATTATAATGCTTCAATGGCAAAGGGTGCTGTCATGCCTAGTGCAGCAATAGTACAGCACGTGATACTGAGTACAAAATTCAACTTTTTTTGGTGGAAATGGCAGAACTGACTACTTTGCTCAAAGAGAGGGCACTGTCTAGCTTTGTTTCTAATTAGAAACCACTCTTAGATTGTTTGCTTGATGCTCAGAAAAATGCAATTTTGATCTTGGGATCCGATGATTGATATTATACTTATAGAAATACCTTGTACAAACTATACGTATTATTGAAATAGATTGATTTTAGCACTTTCTTGAATATTAGATTAAAAACTAGTTTTATTATGTAAACTTTTAGATATTAGAGTAAAAGGCAAATATATTTGACATTTATACCTGTACCAAGGAAAGTTGGAAACTACTCTTTCTTTTCTATGTTTTTTTTCTTTTCTTTTCTCTTTTTTCCTTTTCTTGATTTCTGTATTTTAACTCTTTTTGAAAATATAATAAAAAATAAAAGATAATTTCAGAAACAGAAATTATAATGCTTCAATGGCAAAGGGTATTATCATACCCTTCAGCAACAGTACAGCATATGATACTGAATACAGAATTCAACATTCTCAAAATCTCTGTTTTTTTAAAAGCCTAATCCTTAGATGCTGTACTAGATTTCAAAGTGAATGTGCATAATTAACATTGGAAACTGGCTTTTCTTTGTTCCAAACCTGAATTGTATGGGCACGCGTTATTTTTTTTTTTAAAGAACAGGGGATACATGATCTTAACTTAGCACAAAAAGGACACCTGGCTTTGGAGAATCACAGTACTGTACCCCATTCGCTCTAAATCCTGACCTGGTGCATTCTTGCCTGCAGTTCTTGGCAGCTTGTTTGCAGCGTGTAGCACAATCTTCAAGGCAGAGGAGGAGGGGAGAGGAAATAACAAAAAATCCTGCTCCATGGAAGCCAGTAAACACAGCTGCACTCCAGCCCTCTTAAGAGAACCATCCCCTCTAGCTGGCTACATGAGCCTCCAAATCCTGAGCTTTTTCCAAGGAAGTTGATAGTATATGCTTGGCTGCGTCACAATTCTGACTTTGTTGCCAGAGGCCAAACATGCATTTCCCTTGCATTCCAGAAAGGACTCACCTCAATTGGCAAGGAGGGCGGCTGGCATTGCGCTGGAGGCGGTGTGAAGGGCTTCTTGGCCTATCATAGACAAAATCAAATATCAATGAAAAAGAGCCTGGGTTACAGACAATTAATATTGGGGACAATAGATCTTGGGCTTGGATTAGGAGGGTGGAGAACAGGGGTGGGGCTTCCCACTCCAGAATGTAATTTTCCATATGGTGTTGCAACTATTGTTCAACATCTGTGTTCCCTTATATTCAGCTTGAGCTCTCTAACTTGTGCAGCCTGTGTGGCATCATTTAATTTCCATTGAGGTCAGCGAAGTTTACTTGCCAGAAGCGTGCATAATATCACTATTTCAGTATTCCGCTGTACTTCCATTGATTAGTGATACACATGATCCAGTTCAGATATTATCTGGGCCCACTGTTAGTTCAGTCCATGAACATTCCACCTCAAACCAAGCTAGGGTCTGCATACCGAAGTAGGATTATCAAGGATGGATGACTTCCCAGGTTCGTAGTCAAAAATGCTCCTGGGCTCAATGGCAGTGGTGTCTGCAGTTTCCCAATTTTTCCTGCAAAAGAAAGATAGGAGAATTTCAAGGGCTCTGCATGATGTGCTTTTCCCCTTCCTTCTGGCCCCATGATTTCTTGCCTTGTATTTGCAAAGATACACTTTAGCAGGGACTGTTCTCAGCATGAAAAGGGTTGCTGCAATAGACTACAAGCCATTTTTCTGCCTTTACAACTAGGTTCCTTCCCTACATATCCTCAGGGAGTATCAATACACACCCACATTTCTTGGTAGTTGCATGTTGTGAAATGGCAGAGCTGAAGCCATCACATAGGCAGTTCCCATTATCACCTGCTATCACTTCAAACACAAGCAAAGCAATGAGCATATTCAGCTGAAAACAACTGAGATAAGTCATCAAGATAATAGCAAAGGCACATTTATACTACTTGGTTTACCTGTCAAGGATAAATCCATTTCGTATTGAAATGCCCAACACCTCCCTCTAGTGTCACACTTGGGCACTGGAATAGGCATGGATTCAAACCGATGAATTATCCCAATGATGGGCTGATTTTAGACTTGGAGTTTTTAGGTCCATTGGCCAGAGTCAGATGTAAAACAGTAACTCAAAAAAGAAGACCCAGAATTTGGGAACAAGGATGCCTCCAATATCTCAGGGGGCACTTAGTTTACTTTCCGCAAACCTTGTTGAAGACTTCGAATACTGCTCCAAAATCTTTAAGTCTCAAATTCATTTGTACCAAAGCTGCAGTTTAAAGTCCCATTGACTGAAATGAACCTCACTTCTGAATAAATGTGCATGAGACTGCATTGCAAATAAGCTTACATTTATAATGTAGATATGTACCAGGAAGGTCCATAATCTCATCTCTTTACAATTAACCCCATATTTTCTTCTGATGTTCACATGGCTTTGTTTTCTCTCTGTATTTTGGTTGATTACCCTCCTTCACAGGAGGGACTCTTACATTTTCCATGCTTCTACTCACCAATCCCAGCCATTCTTTTGGCAAGTGGAACTGCTGGATGCCATCACTGGAGGTTGGTTCTTCTTCATGTACTCTGGAGGGTTACGATCTGGAGGAGACAAAATTGTCATTGTTCAATTTTCAAATGGAACAGTGGATGACCCCTTTGATCTCCTCCCAGAATCACCACACACATACATACACTCCATTTAGACATTCTCTTGGGCCACAGAAGGACAACCTAGAGCCTTAGTGCTGAAAACAAGTCAAGAATCTCCTTTTTGCTATCTCAGAGCTCCATGTACCATTCAGTTGAATTTTGGTGGTACAGTTTGCTGTTGAATTTCAGAGTTGTGAAAATGAATGGCATTTTCCTAGTGGGAGAGAGATCCCTCAGCTACCCTTTCATGGTGTACACTTTCATAACCTATCCGTAGGCAGAAGCCCAACCAAATGGGAATTTCCCATTAAGCAGTCTCCATGAAGCCCTGAGTCTGATTCTGATGTCTTCAGGCCCTTCATTTTGTTGCTGTGGGCCTTCTAAGCATTGCCCCAGCCAAGTGAATGTAATTCCCATATAAGTCACTTCCACAAAGTCAGGATAAAATATTAAAGGGACTACACAGCACAGCTGTACTACTGCATTTGCTCTTTACATGGATGACAGTTTTGAATCCCATACTGTTGCTTCTACAAAACAGATCTAAGACAAGAAGCTCTGAGCATTCTACTGGTGTAGCAGAATGATCCCAAGATGCATCTGCAGGCTTGTGTTTCCTTTTTGGTACAAGTTCCTGGCCCATACATGAAACATCTCAAACCTCTTGCACTGTGCTTTTCTCTCAACGCTAAACCGCCACAATCTGCTATTACCATTTCATTCCCGAGGAATCATTTGTTCAGCATACAATGACCAAAAGCTTCCCAACTGATAGCTAGACAGTATGTTCAAGAGCAGGAAACAATTTCTACCTCTTGGCTTGTAGAAATCCCAATCCAGTTCTGATTCTGAAAGAGAAGAGAGATGTTCGTGGGGAGTGGGCTCTGCATTTGAAAGGACCCTGGCTAATGTATTCCCTACCAGGCCTTCTTCATGGGTTACATGGATGCTGTACTCTGACCATTAGGAAATTGCTGGGTTCAAACACCTTATGAATTTCCAAATTAAATTAATTTCCTAAAGCACTGCTAGGTTGGGCAAATAAAAACGGTAGTTGGATCTATTTAGAGTGTTGGCCAGAAAAAAAAAAGAATCATGGGAGGCCTATAGCAGCTATCAGCTGTAGCCCCTATCATGGCCTATTAGCCGCCCAAGGATACCAGTTGCTGACACCAGCCCTTAGCTTAAGTATAAACCAGAGGTTGCAAAAATCCAGAACCCAGAATGCTGATCAAATAATATGAAGAAAGAAGCAAACAAAAGGATGGATGGCTTTACCGAGATATGAGATAGAGGAGTCTGGATCCTCAGGAGACATGTAATAAATCAGGGAATGAAGCAGGAGGGTGCTGAAGAATTTCAAAGGAAATGTGGGCATAACTTTGTCCCATTTTTCATGAAAAGAATCATAGACAGATGAATTTGCAAACGTGTGGTTCCTATTCATACAAGGTCAACATGCCTATGATGGCGAGAACCCATCCCAATGAGAAAGTACACTGTTGACTTTAGTTCCCAAGAAAGACCCTGTTGGATACAATTAAATTGCTTTGCCAAGAACAAACGAAGTCATCATTAGGAAAAATATTTATAAAAGCCATTAAAAAAAAATCTCTCAAAATCAAGCTGACAGGTTCTTCAGAACTTTTCACCCAGAGGGATCAAGGATAGCCGGCATTTCCTTTAAGTGCTTCCTGAACTGAGTTTTGTTCTTAAATGGAGAGGGGGCCTATGGCAAACTAAGATGCAACTATATATACTTCATTTGAAAGTGGGCCAAAAAAAAAAGGAAAGTTGGGATGGTAGAGGGCATCTCAGAGGGCTGGAAGTGTAGACAGAAATACATTTATTTTCTGAGAGTATGCACTACACACTCTCAAAATGCCAGATATGCCAACTGTTCTCAAAAGCTGCCTAACTAGATGCTAATGCAAATGGGAGACAGGGGAACAGAATGAAAGTTGGCTTGAAGTTGAAATCAAAAGGTCTCCATTTAGGCATGATCTTAAAATGAAGTATAGGAGGAAATGGGAGATTTAGTAGGATTAAATTCTACTAGATATTATGCAGGTTTCAGGCTGCAGCAAGGAGTTCTGGGACAAAGAAGCAAGTAATGGCTAATTCCCCTATAGCATTATAGCACTTAGTCAGATATGTTTCCAGATCCTCAACTTACAATTTGAGAGTTAGGATTTAGTTTGACTAAAACCAACAGGTGTGTTCATGATTGAGCCAGGTTTATATTCTGCTTACTACAGACCTTTATTGGTTAAAAAATTACTGTCTATCTACAACAACATCCTACATGCTATGTCTCCTGCCACACCACAATGCATCTGACTCATAGTTGAGGAAAAGCAAGTAGGAGATCTGTTACCTTAAGAGTAATTTGCAGATCATATGAATAGCAGTGTGGCAGGCAGACACCACCCTGAACCCATTTCAAATGTGCGAATGGGGAGGTGAAAGAGTGGGCATCTCAGTTTGGGTCTAAGGTTCTTTTGGCAGCCAAAATACGTAGATTATGATGTGGGAAAACTCACAGAAAAGCCATGGCAGGATAGACACAGAATGAAAACTGTTATCCACTAGAGGCCGCTCAATAATTGTAATGTTCCTTGGTGTTTTTATCTCTCTGGACAGTCAATCCCAGGTTATGATTTCTAAAGCCACTTCCTCACTATAAAGTTCAATCCACATCTCTCTGTATCAGCAGGATACAATGGCATAATAAAATTAGCTGTCCACATTGCAGATTCTTGTCCATCCCCTGCATCTGTTGTGATTCTCTGTCAAATCGGATTGCCCTGATTTGGGGATGCTGGTTAGTTCTATCCTCTGGCTTTGCTGCTACCCCAGTTCAGCAAATCACCGGCCAGCCAGAAAGTAACCACCAATGGGGACCCTGCAGCAAGAATGGGGTGGAGTCTGATGTTATTGCACAGTTCCAAGACTCCATATGTGCTTCTCTAGTCTGCTCTTCCCTCCATATCCCACCTGAGAATCTCACAAGTTCAAAATAATGTGCAATAAAATAATATGGAAAGATGGTTCTAATCATAAATATATGTCTACAATTAAAAAAAAATAACAGTGACAAACAAATTCTAATTCAGACAGACACCCTCAAATGCCTAATTAGAAGCACTCAATGTAGAAAAATACAGAGATAGCCTCGAAAAAAATATACATTAGGAAAACATGAACTTAGCCTAGGAAAACAGGAAAATGTGAGAAAGAAACTCAAGATCGCCCCGCTTGACTCTCTTCAGTATAAGAGGGAGGGAATGAGAAATGCTGTCAGGCTTTCAATATTCTTTTATTATAGCCTATATCATGAGGGTCCTAAGATTTCTTGTGGTGTCCTTTTCCTGACATGGATTACCTCAAAGGGCTGACACTCAAGGAGTCACCAGAGCCCAGTCTTTGCCATAACGGTGTAACTAGCTAGGTCTTGTAGAGACAGATAAGAAGAACTATCGAGCCACTAGGCAACTACGTTTTTACTTGGGATGGTGTGTGGGTGTGTGATGAAAACTGATAAATACAGGGAAACTGGAAAAATTAAAGCCCAGTTCAACATCTCTTATTATTTTCCAACACTGCAATGAGGAAAAACAGAGCTGTTGAATCTAAAGACACTCCACAACCTCATTTCAGAGCTCTGTAAATATAGAGCTGTGTAAATACAGTATAAAATTACACAAATTCACCTCAGCTTCTTCCCCACATAAAATAATGGAGATTTCTCTCCTCTCTTCTATCTGGCTAGAAGGTAGAAGCAAGCTGACGACAAAACATGGAGGTGGGGTAGAAAGGAAATGAATAAGGGTAGCACTGATGGAAAGGAAATGCTAGGAAAGAAATGGCTGCAAAGGAAGCAGTGTGGAGATATTTCTGCATCTCCTAACATGCCCAAAACATACCTTTGGTTGTAGGCTCCTGAGATCATCAAACTTTGCCTCAGTTATGGGTGGCAAAACATTAGGGCAGTGTTTCTTAACCTTGATAACTTTAAGACGTTGGCTGGGGAATTCTGGGAGTTGAAGTCCACACATCTTAAAATGATCAAGGTTGAGAAATGCTGCATTAGAGGCTGAACACACCTCAAAAATAAGGTGGAACATCATGAGATTCAAGGGGGAAAGACTATTTTTATCCTGGTATACAATGTGAAGAAATCATGTTGTTCAACTTGTGAGCCAGGGATGAAATGAGGTGAACATCATGCAGGGAAGAAAATTGACGTTGTCAGGGCATTACTGTGCAAATGGTGAGAAAGCCTAAGGTTATTGAGATGGTTTTAGGATCTAAATTAACACGATGCTCTGAAAGAGTCCATACCTGGAAGTTTGGTGTGGATCTGTTGAAACATGCTGCGATACCAATCCCGGGGGCTGTCCACGCTCTGCAATAGAAATGAAACGTGTCAAACTGCGAACAGGGAAGGGAACTTTGAAAGAAGGTACTTACGCAATAAAGGACTAGGGAACATCTTTGCACAGAATTCTACAATTTTGGTTGGGCTTGTAACATTACGGAGAAGTAGAAATATTAGTAAGATTCTCTCAGCAGTCCAAGAAGACTTTATATTCAGTAATACCCAAGGCACAGACTACCAGGAAACCTGCTTTTTTGCCTTTATGTGCAAAGCAGACAGGCAAGTAAATGATGAAGTCTGAAGATGTGGTGGGCCTATATCTGACCTATCAAGTAAATGTTATGCAAATATAAGGTAGTTTGCAAACTAGAGGCCAGCCCCCTTCTACCTTCCCTCTCTGATGCAAATTCCATCTCCTGTTTCTGTTGGTGCTTCCTTTTGCTCAGATCCCAGTTAATAAGGGAACAGAATTTGGCATTAGCTTTGATGCAAATACCAAATTTATTATCAAGGCCAAGAGAAATAGAAAGAGGTCATCTACATTGGAGAGTAATGGTTAATGGGCAAAAGAGCATGCACTCCTAAGATTGGCTTTCAATTTGTAAACTGCAGTTTATATTAACCTAGCATTAGATTTTCATGCCAGATCTTGCAAGGAAAGCATTTTTATGTAGATGAAGTCACAGAAACCACTCAACTTCAGGTCAACATTTGGATAACTTTAAAACCTGGGTGAGAAACCTGAAGCTTTCCAGATACCACTGAACTATAATTCTCAGCAGCTCCAGGCATGGCCAATGGTAAGAGATGTTTAGAATCATAATTCACAGACATCTGGAGAGCCACAATTTTTGCATTCCTGCATAGATGGCTCTCATTTATCTGTCAAGTCAGCCTCAGGTTTTCATGGTTTGGGAATTAATCCAAGAAGTCCCTGGCCCATGGCAGCTTGGCTGTGGACTGTTCACGTAAAAGAGGAGAGGAGTGCTGAAAAGCTGACATTTTCATTCTATTGATGTTCATTCCAAGGACTCACCGATCGAGAGGCAATGGGCATTCCAGACTCGTCGACTGGCCCAATCCCATCATACTTCACCCAACGTTTTTCCTTCCTCTTGCCATCTTTGGTCCAGGTAGCTGACCAGCCTGGTTGGGCTATGCCATTCAGAGTTGGGTGATTGACTGAACTAGGCAGGCAAGGAGCAGGAGCAGCTTGAGATGTCAGTGGTCTAATTTCTTTAGCAGGCCAGGTTGGGTACCAATTGTTTGCTGCCAAGAGACATGGACAGTTCATAAAGAGGGGAAGATCTAATTGACCATTATGTCCTACTCTTGTATCCATCAACTCTCACAATGCTGCCTTTAGAACAATCAAAATGCTGCAGTTCCTAAACAAAATTGCAAAAATATTATTTTGCAATTTCATGTAGGTTGGCTTTAAAAATCATTTAAGATTGCCTGAATTATCAATGAAACAGGTTAGGTGGTACTTGGGTTAGCCCAAAGAAATTCTAATAACTATCTCTGATGGGGCAGCTGGTTCTATCCTGAACATCACTGATGAGAGAAACATAGATTGTGGTAAGAATTAGTGTCATGAGTTCCAAGTACTGTATACGTCATGTCCTTTCCACTAAAAAACCAAGACCAGGCACATTAGTATTTGTTGTTTCCATCCACATCCAGGCTCCACTGGAGATATCAAAATTTTATCCCATCTAATTGCTCTAAAAAGGAAGCAATGATGGTAGAAACGGAATGGGAAGGTTGACTTTAGACATGCTGCTGAATTTAAATGTCTTTTATTCAAAGTTCTACTGTCAGAAAAGACCATCAGAGGCTCTCAACTCTTCTGCTAGCAGGAGGAACACAAAGCTAGCTGAGCTTTGGAAGTGGGTCTAGTTTTATTTAAACTGAAAAGATCACGCACAAATGGATAACAGGAAGATAAGGCAGAGAAGGCTACAAAGTGTTCTGTGCTTCTTGCCAAGGAAATCTATTATCACTTCCATTCTTGGCTGGAGTTACCTGAGCTCCGCTGAGTTGTTTTCCATGGCTGGGATATCCCATTGTACACTCTGCGGGGAGTTGTATCATGGAATTCAAAATTTAGGGTGTTAGACCCACAGTTACGAATCACAGGAATCTTTACAGGATAGATAAAAGAACACCATCCATTAGTACGGATCTTCTGCTCTATTTCAAAAACTCTCCGCTGTAAAAATGGGAACATATTTTTCTTTGCTCAATTGTGCATCACAGGAACATTTCTAATCACAGCCTGAGGCACCCCTCCTGCCTATACTCTGTATAACTATTACACTAGGAAAGTTCATTGGGTTGAGTATTGATAAGATGCTTTCAACCTTATCAACTTGGGAGAGTGAAAATTTACCCCGCTATCTTTTCTTTGGCCGCCCACACTTCAGAACAATAAGACTTTAGTTCAAATTTACCAGTGTAATTTAAATCTTCTAACTAAAAAAGTCAGTACTATTATTTAAGATTATTTTACTAGTTTCTCATACTGGATTCTAATAAAGTAAGCTGTATGATAGCCGAAGGAAACATTTAGAAGTTTATTGTGTGGACAAAGAGCATGTTAATTTCCAATCCTTTCCAAAGGTCATTTCTCTCTTCTTTTGTGAAAAGGACTTTTGATCTTTCTGGCTAGGTTTATGTTGTTTGCTTTGCAAATTACTTTATCAAACCCGACTGGTGAAGGCCAAACTGTATTGTACAAAACTTCTGGGTAATTTTCTCAACCGTCTTCCTTGGAATTGACAAGCAGCACCCAATGGATGATGCAATTGGGGAACTGAGGAAGGATCAAGGGCCAGCGAAAATACAACTTGCTCTGCACACTTTTGGTCTGCGAGGACTAATTTGACCAAGTACATAACAGCTCGTTCCTACTGGGAGACAATTTTAATTGAACATTGTCCTCAGAGCTGATAGTAGCAATATGAAAAAATGTGTGCTTACTTCAATTCACATAATTAACTTAGTTTGATTCTTAAACTTTGTCTAATCTGCCCTCTTATTCTGTTTTTCTCCCCTACTTCTGATGGAGAAAAAAACGCAGGCTTCTGTATCTTTTCTCTTACAGGGAAGAGGGAAAAAGCCAGCGGATCCTATGATCGGAAAGAGCTGATATTATAGAGCTAAGCATCCCCCCTCCCACATCTGCGTCTTCTCACCAAAGCTTCCAGCTTTTATTAATCTTCACATTAATAAAAAGTCATCAGCAAATTAAATTGAACTGTGTACAAAGTGCAGTTTAAGCAAATCCTCTGAATGTATCAGAGCCCAGTGAAGGATTCGGAGGGAAAGACCAGGGTTCAAGCACACCCTCAGCCACAGAAGCTCACTGGGTGACTTTGGGCCAATTGGTCTCTCTCTCTCTCTCTCTCTTTCTCTCTCAGGGTGGTTGTTGGGAAATAAGGAGTGCTGTACATACCACCTTTAATTCCCATAAAGTAGGCTATGAATCTAAGAGAGATATAAAACAAAATAATTCATTTATAGCAAACATTTGCTTTTGTTAAACAAATGAAGTCAGCCTAGACAAAATGATAAAGATTTGTGATAAACTCCCCAGTCTTTTGGTCAAATAGTACTGAGTTCAATTCAATACATAAAAGGTGTTTTTTTTTAATAGTCTTCCACCCTTATATACTTCCCTCAAGCTACTCTATGCCTTGTTCAAGAAAACTGAAATATATCAAGATTCTGGACCATATTCAGGTTTTGGAATATTAGTCTACCCCCAAAGAGGCCCTTTTTTGCTTTGCAGTACTAATAGTACTAGCAATTCTGGAATAGGGATCAATGATCTTGCCTGGCCCTTGTATTTTGGTGAGATTTTGCAAGATGTTTAGCAGTTATAAAGATCTGGCATAATCTTACCAAAATACAAGGGCCAGGCAAGATTATTGATCCCTATTCCAGAATTGCTAGTAGTATTAGTAGTGCAAAGCAAAAAAAATGGAAGACTTGTCTGAAAATATCCATATGTGGTCTGTACAGGTATATTTCCCCTAATGGACAAACAGCAGCATTAGTGAGAAGGGATGAAGGAACAAACGTTCATAAGGAATCTAGCAAAGAGGAGGAGAAAGAAGCATAACCTTTTCCCAGCATGATACAATATTGAACTGCACTCTTCCCATTCACAAGATTCCACTGGCACCTAGTTAGTCCCACATTTTCCATCCCATTGAAGTCTTCTTTTTTCTTTACCTGCAGACCCACTGCAGTATGCAGAGACTGGCAACACTCTCACTACCCCCCCCCCCCTTGTGAGAGCTCATGCAGATCCAGAGAACTCTCATGGCATCTCACACAAGATTTTGGCATTCTTGCCAGATTTTGCTGACCCCTTAATTTTTAAAATGGATTTTAATTCAAATTTAATAAGGTAGAGTCACACGCTTCCCTGAAGAGTCACAGATGCTCTGGCAAACATGGATGCAAAGATGTTTTTGGGGAAAGGGGGAGATGACAAAATGTATGTGATGACAATCACACAAATGACATGATTTACATAGTTGCATCAGACTTCACAACATCATTACATAAGCATGCCAATTGTAGGATGACATTATAATGCATGCATCCTCATTTTGACATCATCATAGCTTGTTTAGGACACCAGTGCATGAATGCTGTACTGCTGAGCCCTGTTCAGGGTTTTGACCTTCCTGAAGAGCAAGCAAGTCTCTGCAAGTAACTCATAAGCCCCCAGTCTTCCCATCAGCTTGTCTCAAGGGAGGCACACTCACTCTACGACATGTGGGGTTCTGTTTATTCTGTGGAGTGGACGTTGCCTGAGGGGAGGTGAGACTCCCACTGTGGATAGATGGGCTCTTCTGGAGGTGCAGTGGGATGAAGTCATCCAGCCTAAGGTCCAGAGCTTCCACAGAGACTCCAGCTCTAGAGTGATGTGGAGGAGATGTGAAACTGGGCCCTCCAGAGGCAGGGGAAGGATGGTCTCCACCACCATGAAAATGCTGCTCAGCATATGGCAAACCCTGCAGGGGGTGGGGAAAAACAAAAGTTGCCCAAGCATTTTGATCTGGAACACTGGAAAGTGTTGATGTCAGGGTTTTGTTCATTTTTTAACCCCAATATTCTCTCTGCTGTCATACTAGACCTCCAGGTTACAGCTAGAAGGTCTTTCCCACCCTCTGCTCCTGACCCTTTTGGTTGGAAATGCCTCAGACTCTATCTGGGATTTCCTGCATGCAGAGAAATTGTTCTCTGTTGACCACTAGTCTGTATTTCATATGCTGTTCCTGGAAATCATGAACAAGCAGCCGTATTGCTTCCAACTTACCCACGCCTTTGTTTTAGAGATCTGATCATCCCAAAAATCTCATCATTCCTTCCATGGGAAGATGAGAGGGGAATGCCTGCTTTTGACTCTGGCAAATGCCTGATCAGAGGGCCAGTGCTGGATCATGGCTGCGCCATTATTTACCAGAAGCTCAATGGCTCCTCTGGGATCTTTATTCCACACCCCTGACATCTGCTCAGAAAAGATTTCCTGTTATTTTTAAGGATTGGTATGTGTTATACAATATCAATAATAATAATACCATGACAAGTTTAAGCACAGACACTCACATTCAGGGAACGAAGCATCCCAGATCCTGAGTTGTCAACCAGCATCAAAGCTTGTCCCGTGCCAAAGTTCCACGTTGAAGAGGAGGATCAGCTTAGGGTTGTGTCTCCTGAGCAAAGAGGAGAGAGAACGAACCTCTTATATGAAAAGTGCCTTGAAACTGCATCCGGAGGTCATGCTCTCTGCACTCCTGAGTCAGGAACATTCTCCTCCCTAACTATAAAGGACCTCCCATCAGAAAACCATAATATGTGGGGATGTTGGATATCAAATATATCAGGAATCCTATGCCTGTTCTGTTTTGTTTTTTGACACTCAAGGACAGTCTTCAAAGCATGACAGAGTTGGACTGTCTTTCCCTTCCTTTGTTTCATGTAATTACTCTCAAGCGCTAGCCAACTTTCCAACACATCACAATAATTAATCATTGCTATTAGCAGTTAAAGGGACCTGTGCATTAGTCACACTTGCCAAAATCTTATGTCTTCACTGAACCTTGATTTTAAAGGGTGACTGGCCTGTGGTGGACACAATGAAACACAAATTAGCCAACCTCGTTTGGTGTAATGGCTTCTGTGAGCAGAGCCAGGGGTTAGTTTATGGCCCAGCTTGTCATCCAAAGACAGAAAATTGGGTTAAATCCATACGCCGTGATTAGCTTAAACTCAGGTAAATACAGCATGCCAACACAAGTCAATAAAATCACAGCACCCCCCAAAAGTGGCCCTCTCCTTGTCACCACCCATCTCACCTCAAATGGCAGGTGCCAACGAAGACCTCCAAAGATGATCTCAAATAAGGGCTGCTTTGTGCTGCAGGAACGATAGCTGTACAACCAGGATGTACACCTATTTCCTTTGCAAAGGTTTGGCTCTCTGATCCAGGGACTTACTGGAGCAGGGCATCTCAGCCATTATCTGTTTCTGACACTGCTGGGCACGGGAGAAACAAAGCTGCCTTTCTGCTGTTGGTGCCATGCCCAGAGCAAGGTCACTGCCTGGTTCAGTCTGCTAGCACACACAGTGTGCAAGTGTCGGGTCTGACTTTTTGTTGCAACTGTGACTATACAAACCATCTTACATTAATAATTCAGCCCCAAACAACACGCTATAGTTTGCTTGAATGCACGCCCGCATTCTTGTGAGGGTGTAAAAAAAAAAAAAAAAGCTATGGTGGGACAGGAGGGAGCAAAAGTTTATGAGTAGGAGACAGGAATCTCCCAGAGCTTAAAGCCTGATGTGGGCAGGAGCAGAGGGAGGAAATGCACGGCTGTAGCTCAGTGGTAGAATACATGGTTGCTGTGTTGGAACTCAACAGATCCAATCTGCAGCATCTCCAAATGGGACTGAGAAACTGTAGCCATAGCACTTGCTGTAGTCTGAAAATATCCATGAGACAACCAAACTGAGGAAAGTTTGTGTCCAGACAATAGTTGACTAGATAGCTTTGTGGTCTGACTCAGTACAACGCAGCTTTTTTATCTGTTCTGGGTAGAACCCAGTAACACAATATTGCAGAAAGAGGATGGACCAATTTGGAGCTCCATAGCAATTAAACCTTTGCTGCAAACAAGATCTTTGTTCCTTGGACCTCTCATTTTCAACACATTTATTTATTTTTAAGACGCAAAAGCTCACAGGCCCACATGTACTCTTCCCCTTCTCCTCCCTGCAGTTGTGGATCAAAGACCCCTTAAAATGGCTGAATTGCAATTTTGAAAACAATAAAGAATTAAAATTATTATGTAGGCCTCTGACCATTATAAATCAGAAAATATTCTGGCTTCTGAAAGTCCATTAGAGGTTGTCCATAAGAATTAGTAACTTTATTCCTCTTTTAAATTAAGGCAAGGTTCCCCAAAAGCTGAAGAACACAACTAAATACCATGGCAGAAATGCAGCACACACACTGCCCAGGCTATATGCAGCAAAATTCTGTTTTTTTTAAAAAAAAATAAACCAAATCAAGGTAACTCACATTTCTGTATCCAGAAGAAGCTCATCTTTGTGAAACTGCAGACTAAAACACAGACTGGGTTTTTGTCGCTGTCCTTATGACACCTGGCTTACTTCTACTGCAGTGTTTCTCAACCTTGACAACCTGAAGATGCGTGGACTTCAAGGGTGGAGTTGAACTCCACACATCTTAAAGTTGCCAAGGTTGACAAACACTGCACTAAGGGATAAATATCAATTGCTGGTGAAGCTTTTTACATAAGGTTTTGTGTTTTTTTTTACATTTTAAAGTAAAACCTTTTATGTAATTTTTTTCAAAGCTGTAAAGGGATGTTAAGCTTCTTTGATTGTATAGTACAAGTTGTTTTTTTTTTTGCTGAAAATCAGAAGAAAATCATGCCTCTTTAATTTGCTGCTACATTTTGGTCAGACCATTCCTAGGGACAACAATGAAGAGTTAGGGCTGGAAACTGCCTCCTTTTTTTGAACTGAAGATACTAGGCATTGAGTCAGGGATTTCCCATATATAAAACTGATGTTTTATGCCAGGAGGGTAAAAAGTGCAAGGGCACACATTCCAAGTCACATGATGTGGTTGACAATGCCTTTTTGCACCCGCATCTCTCCCAACTTTTCCCACCCTGCTCTTTTTAAAAGGCAATCTGGTCCACCTTTTCCTCCCTCTGCAATCACCAAGCTAACCTCTTTCCACAAAAATTGTTGGATGAAATTTCAACATATGACACTCAAATGAGTGGAGATGTTTACAGCTGAAGTCAGAAATGCCTAAATTGTAGTGAAAACTGCTTGAACACACATTTTTTGCATTCTTGGGCCTTTATTTTCCAAGAGCAAAATAACCTTCTCCCATGAAAACTGAAGTCTAGCATGCTTGCAAGGCACCAAGTTGGGAAAGACTGTGGAATCCTTGGGGTTCTCTGAGCTTGGTGGTTTTCTTGCAGACATTTCATTACCGGCTAGCACTGAAGATGTAACCTAGCTGGGTAATGAAATGTCTGCAAGAAAACACCCAACCTCAGAGCACCCCAAGGACTCCACAGTTCAACCCAGAGCTACAGAGATTCTCTTCTAATGGGGAAGACTGTCCTAACCTATTCACCAGAATGAAATATGCCCTTGTTGTCATTAAAGAGAGAGAGACACGTGCTAATAACACATAAAGGCTAATCTATGGTCAGATGGAAAATATTTGTGTGTGTGTGTGTGTGTGTGTGTGCATGCATGTCTTGGGCTGGTGCAAATAGCTGTTATAAAAACTTCATCCCTGCAATCAAAATAATATTTACTGACTAGAAGGCAGTTAGTGCTACAGACGAAGGCAGGCTTTGTTTGCATTTCCATGCAACCTTGCTCTGTTTCTTTACTTTATCAGAGAATCTTGAAACACTTTATAAACATTATTAAAATGAAGTTCCCACACCTGTTCTGTTTAATTCCTATGGACATAGTCCAACAGAGAATATTCCATATAAGTGAAACAGTAAACTTTGGGGCCAAAATGTAACAGGATCCAGGAACTCCCATTTCTTTTGTTAGGACATTTTGGTCTGTCTTCACATGTTTAGTGTCACCCACACATCTAGATAGTTGGTTACTACAATACTTGGAGAAGATGAAATGGTCACCCCTCATGGAAAAGTTTGGATTAAATTAAAAGCAGGCAAATTTTACATTGCCAATTGCTATTTAAAAAGAACAACCACTATACTGTAATACTTAATATTTTATAGCATTCTCTTGTAAGCTTAACCTATTTTCAATCTGTAATCTTTCTGCTAATGATTCTGAAAGGCAGACCAACGTTCTTATCCCCTTACTGCAAACAGAGTCATGGGCTTTTCTAAAATTACCCAATGAGTTCATAACAAAAATGAAATTTGAATTGAGGATTTGTGATTTCTTGCTCTCTTAAGCGAGCTTTTCCCAATCAGGTGACTTCCAGAAATGTCTGAAGGCTTGAATCCCATAATCATCAAGCCATCAGGTCATTTGTTCCTTTACAGCATTATCATAGTATCTTTCTTCCTGCTGTTCTCACCTGGCAAAACCTTTGTAATGCCCCTGCATGTTCCTCTCTCCAGGCATTGTCAGTGTATTTTCTAAATAGTGTATACTAGATGGGATTAAAGCTTCTGAAACTCACCTGCAAGCAACAATCATCTTCCTGATTCTTCCAGATGATGAAAAGAAAATGCATTTCTATAAAGAAAAGGCTAAATTTTTACCAAGTTGACCCCCCCCCCCAAAGGAGCACCACCATCCTGCCTTCATGCCTATCAACTCTTTCAACCAAAGACTATTAGAAAAAGCGTGAAACAGGAGATGTTGAAGGGATTCGCACATTGATTTAAGGGGTTGCTATGCTTAGACATAAACTAAATTTGGTTTAGTATGACAGTTGAATATTCCTCGTGCACTTAATGTTTTTCCCTTCTGTTCCATTAAAATACAATCCGGTGGCAGTTTCTGAAAGGTCTTTGAAAGCCTCAGAGTGTACGTCCTTGGTTTAGAATAGATTTCTATATAGCTTGGAAGACCAAGCAACCAGTTAACCGACCCATGTGGATAGAGCGTGCTTAATTCTGCTGTCTGGAACAGAGAACAAGAGGACCCTTCCTTATTCTGTGGATAGTGGGCTGACCCCTGGAGCCTGCTTCCAAACAGGTGATCATTGCCAAATAGGTCTGCTACAGCAAAAACAACCATGCATTGTTTCAACAGCTTAAACCTCCACAGGGCTTCGATTTTTGTGGACTGGATTTCAGCATACCTGAAGTTAGCAAGCTCATTATGACTAATACGTTTCCATCATTGTTTCTCAGAAAGAAAGAAAAGTACCCAGGGTTTTGCTATCTCAGAACCTTCCACAGAACCCAGCAGGCAACCAATTGGCAGAGTTGGTTCTTCTTTCTAGCAAGGTCCACCCTGTGCAGTGATCCTGTGACAGAAAAATCATTACTGTGAAGGAATCTCTGATCAGCAAAATTTCAAAAACAGTCTGCTATAGTGTTTGAATGGCCAAAAAAGAGGAACTCCAATGCAGATGACAATTATAGGGTCATCATTTGAAGTTGCAGTTTCATAACATATTTTGGAATGGAAGAAAAAAACTCAACTGCCTTTTTTAATTTTT